TTTTATTTTAACATATTTTGTAAAACTTTTAATATATTTTTATTCCAAAAAGATAAACGTGACTAACTTTCTAATAAAATGATGACTCACTCCCTTTAGTTGCATCTGAGTCAAATTTCACTGGCAACAACCACCAATCCGGCAACGCCGCCGAGCTATTTCCGCTGCAACCGCAGCTTGAGTGCTCAGCTGCGGTTTTCGTGTAAACATGTACAGTGCTGTGGTCGGCTCTCGGTTTAGAGAAGAAACAAGACACTGCCGCCGCTAGTCGCCGCCGCCCCTACTCTCTCTCTACCGCCACCCCCGATGCACTTGTTCCTCGCGCTCCTTGTTCGTTACAGACAAATTCGCCCTTCGGCTGTGTTCATACCTAATAATCAATTAAGCAAATAAAGACGTCATCTATAATTATTGGTATAAGGGCTTGTTGTGTCTAAACTTGTTATGATCAGAGAACATGGAGACAGATTGTTTAACGTTTTAGTAAACAAAAAATAAATTCTGGTATATTATAAAATTTACTTTTTTAGCATCTTCGTCGGCAATGAATATATATGTATAAAAAAATTAAGGTGTGTGTGGAAAATATATGTATTTAGTTCATCTAAACATTTACAGAAGTGAATAGGTTGCACAAAATAACCGGAAGAAGCCTATAACTGAACAGGAAAGTCATGTGTTTCACACATCAGATTTTTTTACATTATATTGTAGATATTTCAACACAATTTTTCAGTATATCAATATCACTTAAATATTAAAAATTACATTTAAATGATAAAAATGTCATTAAAACTGTAAATATGTCGTTTAAACCTCAAAAATGTTAAATAGATACTTAAATTTCAAAAATGACACTTGGATGCCAAAAATATCACGGAATCGTGTAGTTTTTGACGTTTTCGTCACCACAAATGCTACTAACATGTTACTTAAACTCCAAAAAAGTTACTTAAACCAAAAAATGTCATTTTAAAGTTAAAAGTTTCATTGAAACGTCAAAATGTCACTTAGATGTCAAAAATTTACGGAATCGTCAAAAATATTTAAACTACAAATATGTCCCGAAAACGTAAAAATGTTGTCTTTTAAATTCCAAAAATGTCTATTAAATTTTTAAGATCACTGAAATGACAAAAATGTCACTTAAATGACAAAATTTTCACTTAAATGGGAAAAAAGTAAATGAAATAACAAACACGTATTTTAACCTACAAAAATGTCACAAGTTTCACTGAAGCGTCAAAAAATATGTCCCGAAAATGTTAAAATGTCAATTAAATGTTAATAAATGCCATTTAAATTCCAAAAATGTCAATTAAATTTTAAATATATAACTTAAATGAGAAAAATGTCACTTAAATGACAAAAAAGTCACTTAAATGTGAAAAAAGTAAATTAAATAACAAAATGTCATTTAAACTCAGTAAAACGTCAACAAATGTCACTTAAACCTCAATAATGTCACATGAATCTCAAAAACGTTACCTAACTGATAAAAATGTCACTTTAACCACAAAAATGTCACGGAAACACCAAAAATGTAATTTAAATGTCAAAAATATAACTTAACCTTCAAAAAAGTCCTGTTAAAGTCCGTACAGACTTATAAATGTCAAACTATCGCAGTGCCCAATCCTGGCTTGAAAACAAAATGAAGGAAACTCAAAGTGACCGACTCTTTTTTTTGCTAATATATTTATTTACAAGTTTCTAACCCATTTAATCCTGAATAATTTCCTAATTTATTTTTTTATCCCCTAGAAGACATTTGACCTCGAACGAAAACTTCCCCTAAATAGCAGTTTTTTTGTTTAATTACGAAGCTATTTAAATATTTATATATTGATATTTGTTCGACAGTTTTATTTTAGACGAAAAATAAATCAAAACTCAAATGTGGATAGACGTAAATGCAATAAAATGAATTTAGCTCAAAGCCAATATCACACAAAATATAACGACCGTCTCCCCTTCAAAAAATAACTACTCCTTTGGCTAATACCGCAACAGGCATTGAATTACATCCGAAGGAAAGACAGCAGTGAAATGTGTAGCATTTGTTAATTTCATTAGAGACTGGAATTGAGAACCTATCTATTTCTTGCTGAGGAGTCCTAATAAGGACGAAACCGGTCCAAGAATGATGTTCTCCTTGGTGAGCAAAATCAAAGTAGAGAGTGTTGAAAATTAATTTTCTATCTCTGCTGTCTTTCCTTCGGATGTAATTCAATGCCAGTTGCGGTATTAGCCAAAGGAGTAGTTGTTTTTTGAAGGGGAGACGGTCGTTATATTTTGTGTGATATTGGCTTTGAGCTAAATTCATTTTATTGCAGTTTTTTTTAAACTAATTTTAAAAAGTTAAGTTTATAAAATGGTTGTTAATGGTTGAAAATAAAAAAAATGACGATATTAATCATAAAACCAATGATAGGATAAAGATTTGGCACATTAAAAGTTGTCGAGTAAAACTAAAGAACTAATTGAATTTTTTTAGTGTAGGATTCCATTGTACAAATTCAACTAAAAGGCAAATGTTGTGTTCTACAAACTTTTTTTTTTTGGATAGCCTTCTGAATATTCTCATTACTTTTATATGTATTGTTCGCTTAAAAGTTTAGAATATTCCGAGAATCAACATCTAATGGATTTAATTAATTTAAAATCAACCCTTCTTACAAGTTTGTTTCAATGTTTATGTTACATAGTCATTTTTCTGCAATAAAAGATTAATGTAATCAATACAAGCAAAAAAAACCATATGGTTTGCTATAATTAGTATTGGCACAAGCGTCTGCCACAAAAAGGGCGCAATAATAATAATAATGTTTATTTTGCAAAAAAGTACATTCATTTATCAATAATATAGTATGGTAATTAGACAAATATAAACAAAAGGTAGACAAGCCCATTAGAGCCACTACTGGCTGTGCATGGGCAATGTATCGTTTATGTCACCAAAAGGGCGCAATGTATCGTTTATGTTACAAAAGGGGTGCAATGTATTGTCTATGTAACTAAAAGGGCGCAATGTATCGTCTATGTCACCAAAAGGGCGCAATGTATCGTCTATGTCACCAAAAGGGCGCAATGTATGTTTTTTTTTTAAACAAAAAGGGCGCGATTTATAGTATACCAAAAAAGGGTGTAATTTATAATGCCTGTCGCAAAAATTGCGTGATTTATCGTACCTGTGACTAAAAATGGATTATTTGATTCAGTCACAAAAATAGCACCATTTTTCTCGCAAAAAAGGCGTCCTTTTGTAATTTCAGCCAAAAACATTTGGTCTGTCATAATTAGTGTCTGCTACAAAAAGCGCGCAATATATTATGCATACTACAATAAGGGCGCAATTTATAGTGTTATTTTTTTTATAACAATTTATCGTATACCAAAAAAGAGCGTAATTTCTAGTGTCCGTCACAAAAAATGCACAATTCATCGGTGTTTGTATAACAAAAAAGGCGCGATTTATCAAATACCAAAAAAGAACGTAATTTATAATGAATGTCGCAAAAATTGCGCCATTTATCATACACGTTACTAAGAGTGGATTATTTCTCAAGTCGGTCACAAAAATAGAACAATTTTCTTCACTAAATGCGTCCTTCCGTAATTTCAACAAAAAAAATTTGGTCTGTCATAAGTAGTATTTTCTCTTGTTTCTGCCACAAAAAATGCGCTATGTACCGTGTTTTGTATAACAAAAAGGGCGCGATTTATTTGTTCCAAAGAGGACGTAATTAATTTGAATCGCGAATTGGCTGCAACGTCAATTTCGTCAGCAAGTTCACTCGCATCAACAATAGTTTCACTAAAAGATTTATCCGATCGAAGATCCTGAAAAAACTTTTTGCAATTTTGTAAAAGATCAAGCGCATATGCTAGATCACAATCTTCTGTCTGCAACAATTTGCTTATTGAATCAATACAGTTTAAAATTTTATACCAAAGAACTATTGAACACAAAAATTTAAATTGTTTAATACAACTTCATAAACCCGAGGCTTCATCCCTTATTAAATTATCAATTTCTTCTTTCTCATAAATGCTCAGCAAGGCATCGTATACGCCTCCTATATAAAATCTTAAAGACTTTAAACCCTCTATCCTACTCTTCCATCTAGTATCACTTAATGGTTTTAAAACAAAACCCTGGACATGTTTTAGAAGAATTGCACAGCGAAAAGTAGGTGCTGAAAAAAATACATATATTTTCTGAATCATATTAAAGAAATTAGCGCCTTCCAAAGATGCTTTTACCATATCGTTAACTACTAGATTAAGAGAGTGACTACTACATGGAACGTAGAAGGCTCGCGGATGTAGGTTCCTAATCCTAGATTGCACTCCTGATTTATCGCCCCTCATATTACGTCATATTTCAGTCGTTACAGTTAAATATAGAATTCCAATTTATGTTCTCTATTTCATTTTTAAATTATTTTTCCGTCAATTATTTTTAATAAATTCCTGGAAATATTATTTTGATTAAAACTACGATTTAGAAATATAATAGTGATAAAGTTTTAAAAAGATATGTGATATTTGTTCCTATAGTTAACAGTAATGTTTTCATAGTTTTATTTACTAGCTTTAATAAAAAAAAAAATGATCTTAGACATGTTTTTGAGTTTTTAAAACCTTATCGGTATATTAATTGTAGATAAATAACCAAATTCACTTTTTATGAATTTATACAAACAATTTTAATTATTTTACTATTATTAAAGACTATTTTAGCTAATTCCAGCTAATTTAGTTAGAGAAAACAAACACATTTCATCACCCACCTCCATTTGTTAATTGGATGTTCAAAGAGAGAAAAAAACTCGAACTCTCCGTAAAAATAAAAGCGCACCTAGATACAATACGAAACAAAACGAAATAAAAAAAAAACAAAATACAGCAGGAGCAACAGCGGCACCAGAGATAGAGATACGGTTGCAGGATAAAAGGCGTAACATAATGAAATTACGTATTCAATTGGTACTTACGTGTCTCTCTTCGGCAGAGTTGATACCTACGGAGCGCAATATCCATGGAAACGGCGGAAAACAATGGAGAACGATGGCGTAACAGCAACAGCATCGCAGCAACCAGACACATGAAACAATCGAGACGAAAACAATTCAGATAAAATGTACAAAAATCTGTTTTAGAGTTTTTTGGGTTAATGTTTGTCTACGTGCCGGTATGCGCCTGCACACAAATATAACGGTAATGGATCGTTTAAGAAACCTTTTACTGTACTATATTGATATAAAATGTGAATTATGGTAAATATTTCAATATTTTAAATTGTCAGTTTTGGATGACTGACAGAAATAAAATAAATGGACTTTTCGTGAAATATTTTAATTAGATAAAAAACTTATTAAAATAGGTTTTAAAGTTTCCTTTTTTTATTACTACTCGAGAATCGTAAAAATAAATGATACTCAACTAATTTTATTTTTATTACACATATTACGTACAATACTAATGTCAAATAAGTAATCACTTCTGACGTGTCGATTAGAGACTACAGTAGTAGAAATGGGGTGCGCTGGGACCACTTTTCAAACTGCGCATACCTGACGTTCTGAAGTTGGCAACAGTATTACCAACCTAACCTAACATATGTCAACTGTCAAAATATAAATATTATAAACTGTTTAACACAGATTAACTGCGACCTGTCAGCATATCAAGTAAAAGTCATCTAACCTAACTAATTAACGCTTCAACTACGATCTATCATTTTTATGATCTTATTTTATTATATTATTTTACTAAACTCTATTCTAAAATAGTGGCTGGTTCGATTCTGTCATACCGAAATTATGAAAATAACGTAAAACTACAGTTTTTCCTCCCAAACTCCTTCCTCGAATCTCTCCGGCGAATTCGAAAGATGGAAAAGAGTAAATAAGCGGGAGTTGAGTGAATTTATTTATGGAAGATGGTTTTCATTCGGTTCTCGACTCAAGGCTGAAGGCGACTTTGTTGACTGGAAATCCGGAAATAAAATTCCTGGTTTGTGCTCGAGGAGCATAAAGTCGAGTGAGTGCGGTGGTTGCATTCGTTAAAAAGTAATTCATTCTGGAAGAATGGGAGTTTCCGTCATATGAAGATACGTGGATGAGTTGGTAATTTTTTGTATGAGAATATTAAATTTAACTTGTATTAATTTTGGGAAAGTTTAGCAGTAACAACAATCCAATCAAGGCTAATGGGAGATACCTTTAAATATAATCTTTATTTTTCTTAAAATTATAATATATTTTTTACTAAAACTTGACATATATCAAAAAAAAAATATGAAATACAAAACACTGGTACTGAGTCAGGCTTAAGTAATTGTGTATTGTGTAATATATGGAACTACAGTTAAGTACGGACCTATATTTATATGGATACTAGAGTTTTTAGTAGAGTTGCTAGACGTTAAAAAACATCCGGACATGTTTGGAAATATCGCGTTTTGTCCAAAACACGCTAGGAATTATAAATTGTACGGAATTTTCAGAAAAATCATTAAATGTATTAAGGTATACTTAAAATTCTGTATAGTTATTTTGGCTGTTAAACCCGTAGAACGTAGTTTTTTTTAATAAAATGTTTAGTAATTATTTAATAAGTTGGAGTTTTACTGTTTTGTCCGGATATTTAAAGAAATGTCCAGAATATTCATTAGGTACGTCAGGAAATTGTATTTTTGAATATAGCAACCGTATTTTTAATCGAATAACACTACGAATTTAATTAGTAAAAATCCGGACGTGTCCAGAATGTTGGCACTTTGTTTGGAACGCGCAAGGAATTATAAATTGTCCGGAATTTTCAGGAAAATCAGCAAACGTATTAAAGCATACCTAAAATCTTGTATAAACAGTTTTTTTGAATATTAAAACCTTAGAGCGTAAACTTTTTTAATAAAACCTTTAGTAATTATTTCATGAGTTGATGTTTTATTATTTGGTACGGATTTTTATAGAAATGTCCGGATTTTCAAAAAAATATCCGGATTTTTATAGAAATGTCCGGATTTTAAAAGAAATGTCCGAAATTTTCATAAGTTATGTTATATGTATTTTTGAATATATTAACCCTATTTTTAGGCAAATAACACTATGAATTTATTAAAAAAAGTTTGGACGTGTCCGGAATTTTGGCGTTTTGTTCTGAACGCGTCGGAAATTATAAATTGTCCGGAATTTTCGGGAAAATCATAAAATGTATTAAGGTATACCCAAAATCCCGTATAAATAATTCTTTTGGACAGTAAAATCTTATAACGTAGCCTTTTTTTTAATAAAACGTTTAGTAATTATTTCATGAGATGGTGTTTTATTACTTTGTCCGGATTTTTATAGAAATGTCCGAATTTTTAAGGAAAGTCCGGATTTTTAAAGAAATGTCCGGAATTTTCATTAGGTACGTCAGGAAATTGTATTTTGAATATGACAACCATATTTTTAATCGAATAAAACTACTAATTTAATTAGTAAAAGTCCGGACGTGTCCAGAATTTTTACGTTTTGTTCGAAACGTGCTGGGAATTATAAATTATCTAGAATTTTCAGGAAAATCATAAAATGTATTAAGGTATACCTAAAATAATAATAATAATAATAATAATAATCGTCTTTATTATTTTCAAAATACAATATATTATAAAATACATATTTACAATTATACTCGTGAAAATAAAGGGCGAAGTTCATTTTTTCTACTGAAGAGCTCAGTAAGATAAAATGTTCTTCCACTTAACCCAAATCCCACATAAACAATTTTTTTGAACGTTAAAACTTTAGAAGGTACCTTTTTTAATATAACGTTTAGTAATTATTTCATGACATGGTGTTTTTTATTTGGTCCGGATTTATATAGAAATGTGATGATAATGGAATAAATTTTGTTAGGACTTGTTTCTAAAATAGATCTGAAGCTATTTATGATGTCTCTATAGCCAGATTACTCTGTACCTTTCGTCTAATTATTATTAAAACTACGTGCCAATCCGAAAACACACCAAACAAGATTTGTGGTGTGTTTAACAATTGACGTCAAATAATTTGCGTACGTTTATCTTCAGGTTATCTTCAATTCATGTTATCTTCGATTTATCTTCAATTTATCTTCAATTTATCTTCAATTTATCTTCAATTTATCTTCAATTTATCTTCAATTTATCTTCAATTTATCTTCAATTTATCTTCAATTTATCTTCAATTTATCTTCAATTTATCTTCAATTTATCTTCAATTTATCTTCAATTTATCTTCAATTTATCTTCAATTTATCTTCAATTTATCTTGAATTTATCTTGAATTTATCTTGAATTTATCTTCAATTTATCTTCAATTTATCTTCAATTTATCTTCAATTTATCTTGAATTTATCTTGAATTTATCTTGAATTTATCTTCAATTTATCTTCAATTTATCTTCAATTTATCTTCAATTTATCTTCAATTTATCTTCAATTTATCTTCAATTTATCTTCAATTTAGCATTTATCTTCAATTTATCTTCAATTTATCTTCAATTTATCTTCAATTTATCTTCAATTTATCTTCAATTTATCTTCAATTTATCTTCAATTTATCTTCAATTTATCTTCAATTTATCTTCAATTTATCTTCAATTTATCTTCAATTTATCTTCAATTTATCTTCAATTTATCTTCAATTTATCTTCAATTTATCTTCAATTTATCTTCAATTTATCTTCAATTTATCTTCAATTTATCTTCAATTTATCTTCAATTTATCTTCAATTTATCTTCAATTTATCTTCAGTTTAGCATCAGTTTATCTTCAGTTTATCTGTAGTTTATCTGTAGTTTATCTGCAGTTTATCTTCAGTTTAGTGCGAAATTATTAAACAGCACTCGTACTCTTACAAGATTGTTTTCAATTCGCCCCCGCGGAAAAACTTTTTCCGCGCAAATAAATTTCCCTTCGGCTCGTCGGTCGGTCCGTATGGCTGGCTGGGCGCCCTTCGTCTTCTAAGCACTTTTTGATCTCTGGAAGAGTTCTCGGAGGTGGAGTGTAATAATGCAAATTTAGCCGACGTCGTTCCTTGTTGATTTTCCCCTTCGTTGTTACTGCCACCCTCGTTTCGGTTTGTTCGCTTCGAAAGAAATGGGGGCGCGGGTGGTGAAAAAGTGTAAATTACCAGCGCAAATTGCGTTTTTGCTTGCCGAATGCAAACAAAATGATATAAATTAAATGGATGGTTTTTCGTTCGAACAATTTCGGATTATTGAAAATTGCCTGTGAAGTAATCTAACAGTGACAGTTGAACAATACGTTTAGGTCAAATTAAAAGTCTCCAATACATGTTTAAAGTCAACTAGATATTAGTAGATAAAAAAAAGAAATACTAATTCCAAGTCACCGCGAGATGGCGTCACCGGGCAGGGTTAAGAATTGAAACTTGGATAAGTATGCGGCCGTCGTTGACGGGAACAAGGATATATATACGAAATAAACGAAAAAACAGAGGCAAAAGAACATAAGCTTATATCTGCGTTATTATTGGTCCGTTTTGCAAGGGATAAACGGCAATATGAAGGAGATATGACGTAGATTAACGATCTCCAGAAGATAAGTTTTTATCCAAACATTAGCAACACCTCTGACGCCAAATAGTACTGACTTCTCGAGCAACAAGCAATGGTTTATCGAATCTAAAGCTAGTGACGTTTCCTTATTATTTAAGCAGTTCAATACTGTTGTAAACAAACTTCTTCTAGATTGTTTGCTGGCCGATAGCGAATTCTTGGCCATATTCGATAATTACCAGAGCAGTGATAGCTAAATAAGCTTGCATTACCGAACTCTGCTAAGAAATTGAATTCTTCGGAACATACCGTATGTCCCCCTCAAATTATACCTCACTGGTAACATTTTCGATATATACTTTCGATCGAATTAAAAATTAATCAAATCGGATTGAGCAGCGTCTGTATATAAGCCCATTACAGATTTAAAAAATCATTCGAAAATCAATCGCTTCGCATTCACCGGCACGT